TCCCTCAGCTTCTAGATGGGCTTTATCACTTCTGTTTGTGTCCTGCTTTATGGTCTCCTACTTTTATGGTATTTATGTGAATTTTGGGTTTTCAATTTCTAAAATCCATTGCTAGAAATTGATTTATTGCACAGTGTACTCAGCTTACAAAGATGTCCAGCTTGTGTCCTTCCTGCCCATTCTAAAGAGAAGTGTCCTCCTCCGTTCTTTATGGCCATTTGGTTTCATGCCCTTTATCCACAGGGAGAGATAAGGACCATGACTGACTGGTCTTCCACAAGTGTTTGCCCACCTGTGTCAATTAAATTTTCCTGAATCATGCCTGTGTCTGTTAAGCAAAGGTACCCTTACATGGCTCTATTCATTTAGACACTTCTTGAACTCCACATGGAAATTAGAGGGGCACCTTTCCATCCTTTCTCCACATGAGCCATGTGATGTGTATGCTGCTCCCACAAACTTTGAATCTTGTGTGGGCAGGGTCAGTGCAGCGTCCAGTCAATCCCTGCAGGGACTAAGCCATGACTGAATCTGTTTTATCAGAGTACAAATGGTAGAAACAATTATGTGCTTGAGCATCCTCTGAGCAAAAGCACAGCTATCAAACAGGCAAAGGTGACTATAGTGGTGATATGAAAACGTCAGGACCCAACACTACAAATCACGTTACAGGGAATACAATTATTAAAATGAAGACTATGAAAATCAATGACTAATCTTGAGTGCCTTCTTGAGAAACCTTTAAGGAACATCATTTTCAGAAAATGGAACATCCTTGGCCTTGAAATACCGTGTGACCAGAATTTTCATTTGGCACACGAAAATACCTAGGCCTTATCTCAAAATAACTAGTCATACACCTCTTGCATAAGTTTATGAATTTTAAATTCTGTCTGGTTCCATCAGATGAAACCTACCTGCATCTATTTATCTACATAGTCAGGAAACTGAAATTGGAGGGAAATTACATTGTAACAGTGTCTGTGCCATATAGCTAATAAAATATATGGCATTGTTTAAAAATCTACACCTACTCCAGGAAACACATTATTAATAACATAAAGGGCCTGACACTGGCAGCTTACGTTTCATTTTGCCATGCAAGTCCCATGCTTCAATGTCTTGCTTCGGTATCTTTTAGAAAGAGGTATATGAGAAGTGTTCCATATCTTATCTGTGGAATGACAACAAAAACACCACTCTAACCTAGTTCTGGGCTCCGCTTTTTTTTTTTTTTTCTGAGGATGGGATTTGTTTTGATTTTTCTCCCTTTTCCTTGACATTTACATGACTATGAAATTGCACCTGAGATACACAGGGGCCCTTAGCAGTTTCTGATATCACTGGGACTGCTGATGTGGGCACATTTTTGGCTTTGTGGTAAAATATATGATCAGAGGATCCACCTTACAACTTTTAAAAGTAATGCAAATTTGTCCCAGCACTAGCAGACTTATTCTTAGAGCTTCACACAAACCACATTTAAGTTGTTCTTTTGGTAAGATAATAATCCATCTTAATTTTTTTGGACAGGGTATATTCCTGTCAGTATGCACTCTGAGGCTAATGAGGCCAATGTTAGTATTCAGTGGTACATTTGATTAAGATAGGTAGCAGCAGTTAATATTCTATTTTGTGGCACTAGAGCAACAACAAAATACCCCAGTAACTGGCTCGCAGGCACAGCTGTGATTCCCCCAGCTGGATGGAATCTACATTCATGACTAACAGCTGATGAAGGCTTACCAATACAAGTCCAGTGTTCATATAGCAGAAGGACTGGAGGCCTAAAAGGCACTGCCAGGAGCTTCCTGGTGCCTATGGGACAGTCATACCTTGGCTTTACATCAGATCCATTTGGGAGCATCCAGGACCAAACCTCAAGGGATTCTGTGCTCAGCCACAAGGCGCTCATTGGAGGAGCAAGGTCCTCGTTTGTAGGTGAGCTTGGGCACATCCTGTGTTGGTGCTGCAGCAACAAGCAGAGCACAGTCATCAATATAGTGGCAGCTGAAGTGAAAGATTACAGTGCAAGGCATGATGTCTTGCCTCAGTTCTCTTGCTAACAGGCCAGTAAGAAAAATAAGGCCCTTGTAATTTATGCTTGCAGAGTAATCTCCACAGTAATGTGAAATATGATAGTTCAAATGGGTAAGAACAATGATAGCTGTTTCCATTTTTGACAGGCAATGGGTTTGGAGCTTGGTGATGAATTGCATTCTGTCTGCAGTTTGTTCAGCCCACTTATCTTCAGGATGTCATTTTGGTTTTTGTTTTTTTCTTTAAAAGAAAAACATCTTTTAAGTCCTTTGGTTGGATGTTGGAGACTTAACAGTTTCTGTTTGGTAAAGTGTTTTGCTTTCTTGTGATCTTTTCTTGGAAAATGACTCTCTACAGATTCCTGAGTAAAAGTTTTGTATGTTTATCCTGCTTTGATAAGGTAGAATAATGTACTCTCTTTTATCTTTAATTTTATTTTAATTGGACCTGCAACAAAGATACCTAATTATATGAGGAATTTTAGTTTTGACACATTTTAAGCTAAAGTATCACTAAGACACATAAATATGTCTGAATTTCAGACTTGCAATTACATTTAGAGAAGGGTAAACCATATTTTAAGTCAGACAACACCAGACCCTGAGATAATAAAGACATGGCATTATACCTCAATCCCCTGACTTAGCTCTGTGAAATTGGTGGTGAAGAATTTTCTGGAAGGATGGAAATTCAGGACATATAGTAAGGGGCGTGACTTGCAAAGGCTTGTCAGAGCTTTGTTATTCTCATTCACTAACAAATACTGTAAAGCCTCACTTAAGGTCTCTCTTGGAATGTGTCAAGGTAAAATATGGAGAGGGTGAAGCAGTAGCCAGTGCACAGCTGGGAAAGCCCCATTTCAGCAGGAGGGCTCTGCTTACCCACTTACAACAGATGAGCTCAAGGAGAAAAACTAACAACTGCTTTTAACAACTAAGGTCCTATGACATTGCTGAAGGTGGAAAGCTAAGTCCCAGACTGGCAGAAGAAAGTATGATTTTAATTATATTTACATAATCCTCATTGCACCATTAGTTTTGCAAATATTTTTCTAAAACTAAACTGCTCCCCTACAACAACCCTGCTTCCTTCTCCTGCCTTGGCCCCATTGCTGCATGAAAATCAGTAAAACAGGGTCTTGCTGGACTGAAGTTTTGCTCCCTTTTCAGTCAGTGACACTGACTCTTAGCTGCTCCTTCCCATGGGAACTAGAGCCAAGCTTTAAGTCCTTACAATTTCCTCTGCTTCTAATTTCACTGGCGGCAAGTTCTGACCAGTTAATCAAATGTCTTTTGTGTTGCAGGTGCCTTAGTGTTTATTTTGATTAGTGTACCAGTTGCTATTTTTAGCTCTTTGGTCTTTGGGTTGAATGAATACCAGCATAGATCTTAAATCATAATAAACATGTGTTTTTAACCTTGCCATTTATTTTTACATCTCTGTATCCAAATAATCAGGATGTGGTTACCTGTGAAGGTAGTAGACTGCTACTTCAAATTTCAATGCACACCCACATACAAAAATAGACATTGTAGAGGGTCATAGCTTTAGAAACACCCAGTCAGACCCTTGTGTTTATGTCAAGCAGTGGCTGTTGCTATCAGACTGAGAAACAGAGGTACTGCCTGATTTACTATTCCAACTTTATCCTTTGATTCCGGTGAACTAAGTCTGCCTCACCCCTACAGAGTAATCATCAGCTTTCTTCCTAACTGCTGATCCCTCATGTACAACATTAAAAAAAAAAGTGTATATATATATATATATAAAATAGAGTAACCAAATAACAGAAGCATCTGTAAAATGTTTTGAAGAAGCTAAGCGAGAAAGAGAGTTTTGAGTTTGCTGCAAGTGTTATATCTTTACTTTTTAAAAATGGACTCCAAATGCTTTGGAGATTTTACTCTTTTGTAGTGTGGGGAAAAAGTAAAAACCAGTGTTTTATCATATATTTGCTGCCTGATCTACTGAGAAATTTTCTACACAAAGGATAAAACAACCATTATGCATTATATAAATGTATTTATACACCCTTTCCATTTCTGCTTTTGCCAAGTGGAGATTCAATAAAGAGTGGCAGAATCAGACTTGAATTATACTCTGGGGCAGGACCTGGAGACAGAGAAATCAGGAAATAAACAGATGCTTTTGGCACTAGAGGCTCCAGCCTAGTTCTTATTAACATCAGCTAAAATATTCCCACCTGAGTCAGTTGGAGGCACATCAGGTTTTAAGAGCTGGATCCAAACAAGGGCTTAAACAACCTAGGCTAAACCCATGGCCCAAGACAATCCCTGGAACAAGCAGCTTCATAGTCCCAACCCTCACAGAACTTGTCCCTCCTTGATAGGCATCTGCAGTCCTGCAGCTGTAGCACATGGTCAGAACACCACCAGTCTGAGCAACGTATTTGCATGCAAGCTTTTCCCAGGTGTGTGAACTGGACAATTTTATTCCAGGATTCCCCTGGAAGTTGTGGCTACCCTTAGGTCGTGTTAGAGGACTAGTGAAATGCAGCCTTGCTTTCAAAATACTGCTGGAGAGGTATGTGATTGCTGTCACAGCTTTAAGCACCTCTCCAGCATGTGGGGAGGTCAGGGTCAACCTACCAGCCAAAGTCTCCCTGCTTACAAATGAGCATCTAGTTCACCTGGTTTTAACACAAGTTTGCATTCATCACAGCTGCTGCTGCATGGACTGCCCCACTGTACAGAAAGGAATCAAAAGATTTGCAGGGCTGTAAAGGAGCAGAAGAGGGAGCTGATTCTGCATGGAAAGGTGAAGAGCATTCAGCTGACACTATCTGGTTGCTGGGGTTTATGCAGTGACTGTTGGGTAAAACACATTAACAGCCACAGGAAGAGAGTCTCCCTTTGTTTTTTACTTCTTTAAGACCTTTGGAGTAAGATTCGTGAGGGAACATAGCTGTGGAGTCATTAACAGACTGTTCTCCTTTGCAGATGCTGCAGTTCCAGCTTGTGGTGGTGCATTTGGCCCTTGTGATTGCCGTGCTGTGGTGGCACTCTAGCTCAGTGCTCCTTGCAGAGGCAGCCCCAGAGGTAGGTGAATATTTCTGGTGGTTGTCATGTAACTGCTCTCCCTTGGGTGTTTTTGGCCACAGAGTGTGGAAGGCACCAAGGTATCCAAACAGTGTTGGAGAATATTGACTCTGCAAAGGCAGAGGAGGAGCCTAGTGAAGAGAGATGCAAATTCCATGGCTCTGGGAGGACAGACAGAATGAAATCCCATCCAAATTCTCACAGCCTCTCCTGAAACACCATGGGATCTCCTGTGTATTAAAACCTTGTCCAGTGGATAGAGAACTTCCTGAAGAGGGGAAGAAGGTGATGGCAGAGGGGAAAGTAAACTCCTCTAACACTGAAGGGGAAGTGTAATGCTTAAAGACAAATAATAGCATGAGAAGGCTGCAGCTTCCAGAAGCCATAAGGAGATCCCTGAGAGGAGATCACCTGCACAAAAGTTACAAATTAAAGGAGACAGAATAGACCAGGAGGGGGAAGGAGCCAAGTCACTTGCCTGAGCTTGCGAAGGAAAGCAGCAGATGAAATGGGAGAGTTGTCTCATGTTTCATCCAAGATGACATGCAGGGTTGCACCTGAAAATACTTCTCCTGCATTCTCTATTTTTAGTCAACTTGACATATGCCAGATTTGGCAGGAAACATATTTATGTAATGCCATAAAAAAAAAAATCAAGTATCTAAAAGTTTGGTCAGAGTAGCACTATTTGGCTGTAGGGTCTTTATATAGGTTTAAAATTAGATGCATACTGAAGAATACTGCTGGATCCTTCTGCCTTGCTCTCTGTCTTCACATAAGCATGTCCTGACTACTGACTATACAAAAGCACTGCAGAAGCTGCTGTTCTTGTGCCACAGAGACCCAGTATTGGGTCTATATCAGTGGTAGATTTTTGTGAAAAGTATATAAGAACAGAACATCTTTGGATGCTTCTTGATCTAGAGGCTTGCACTGAACCAGGGGATGTTTCAGCTGCTGATGGGCCAGAATTTGTCTTTGAAAGAGTTTAAAATCTCAGTATCTATGACGTCCTTTGGCAATGCATCCTCCTTCATCTACGGGCTGTGTTTAAAAAGTAACTCCTTATATTTATTTTAAATCCACCATCTGGTGACTTCACTGGGTGGACTGAGGAGCTCTTTTTCTTGAGGAAAAAATTACCAGTCTTTATTCATCTCATTGATGTTCATAACTTTATAAATCCACTGTATCTCTACTTATCTGTGAAATTGTATTTGGTTCAGTGGTTCACCATAGAAAAACTCTTTTCTACTTCTGATGACTGTTTTAGCTATTTCCTTACTTCTTAAAATTCTATTATATCTTTTTAAGACAAAGTAAGTGAGACTGCAAAGTACTCAAGAGCAGAGGCTGTTTCTGACCTTCTAGTTTCAAGTGTTATTCTAGATAGTTATCCCCACTAACTGAAAGGGAGAGTTGAGTCTTTTTTAAAGACATGATTTTGTTGCAAGCTTATATAAAAGTTTTATAACCCTGAAAGAAAACAGAAAGAATTGCTCTGTGTACTTGAGGCTCATAAAAAGTAGAGTCAGAGGACAGTGTGAGATCCTTTACAAAAGTATCAACAGTGCTACATCATTTGTGTGATCATTGTGGTCATGTACTCCTTCTCATATAAAGGTCACAGTTTTATAAGCTCCATCACTGCTTATGCCACCCATCAAGCGGTGGGAAACATCCCCACCACAACTATGGTGTGGACCACAGTAGACAGGCACATTGCATCATTCATGTGATGCCTTCTTTACATTTGCACTAAAACCACTGTGTATGAATAAGAAAGATAGTGGTGTGCTTCTAATAGAATAAAACCTGGTTCAAGGCATAAATTATAATTTTTTTATCTAATTCTGTGAAGATCAAGTGGAGCAAGAAGGCAAACATTTCATCTGAAGAGAGAATGATTTGAACTTGCTTTTGCAGACTAGCTGCTGCACTGTATTTTTCTGTTGTATGTAAAGCAAATATTTAACTTTGGTTTGTTTAATTTCTCTCTTGATAGACCCCAATATTCTCAGCTATTCTGATAACAAAGTAGAGTTTGGTTTTGAAATGGTGTTAAGCCTAATGTTGTAACTAAGGTTCAAACTGTTGCGTCCACTCAACATACTGTTCTTTCCTTTCCTCCTCCCCATGTAGTGTTACTGCATAAATTCTTTAAATGTCAGTGCTGAGCAAGTTTATTTTGGGATATGTTTTGCATAACTATTAATTAATTTGTCATATTTGGATGGAAAATTCTGTATAAGTTTTCATTACTACTTATTAGCATTCATTTAAAAAACAAAAATCAGTTTCCTGAAAAATGTCAGGGTAGATGTTGGAGTTGGGTAATGGTGATTGCATTTTTTAGAAGTATTAAACTACTCAGCTCATGCTATAAGTGATACTAATCACAGTGCTGAGATAAGGATAGTGGGATGGCCTGCAAAAATAGGCTTTGTGAAGCAATAAATTTTGATATTTTTTGCAATAATGATGAAAGCAAGTCCAATTCTATAAAAAAATTAATTTCCAGACTTTGAGGGCAAAATCCTTTCAGTGGAAAATGGCCACATTTCACAGAAGGTCCCAATTTCAGTGTCCCAGTGTATTTACAGGACTGCTTCTGTGAGACTGGGTTGAGATGGTTTTTCTGGAACCCGAGCAGCCAGCACACTTTATTGCTTTCTTTTGCAGCCTTTGGAGCCTTCTGCTGCTCTGGGCATGGGAGCACCTCCCATTGCCAGTGAAGAGAAGCCAGCCACCAACCTGGCAGACAAACTGTTCCTTCTTGATGAATTGGTGTCTCTGGAGAACGAGGTGACTGAGACCAAGAAGAAAAGAAGCTTCCCAGGATTTGGCTCTCCAATTGACAGAATTTCTTCAACCTCTGTGGATGCTAAAATCAAACAGAGGTAAATTCTTAGATGCTCTTACCAGTGATAAAGTTGGTAGAAGGCTGTTAGTAGGTGCTCTGGGTACTGATGGGTTGGCTTTAGCCACCAACAGGTTTGCTGATCAGTTGTGAGGTGCCTCTGATCAGGAACCATTCTGGTTGCACTGTCCATAATCCTTCAGCTGTGCTGTATAACACATGAACTAGTTCATTTATCCCTACAGTACTGTACAGCTACCAGAGAACATTCACGAATATGTGATTTTTCAGTACACTTTTTTCCACTGATATGAACTAAACTTCAGTTTAAAACTACGTTTTTGATTGTGAGATTATTTAAAACAAAAATATGCCTGAGGGGCAGAGCTAGGTGCTCCTGAGGCTGGAGTGGAAAGAAGGTATAGTGGTGTGCATGTTTTAAATAGCAGCATGAAGAACACATCATGAAAATGGGCACAGACAGTAGAATGAGCTTCAAGACCGTGATCAGCTTTGGATAAATAAGGGTTTAATCAATACATCAACACCTTCATGGCATGTGTGTGAAGATAAGCATGTTTATAACAGGGCTAAGCAATGATGATACAGCTGGGGAGAGACAGTGACTTTGGGGTGAAGCTCAAAGGGCTTTTTGCTGTATCTGAAAGAGCTTAGCTGTCTTGTTCTGTTCTTCTGGTAACTGTCTTCTTTTGGATGGAATCCCTAATGCCACAAAGTATTTAATAACATGCTTAAAGCTTAATCTGGAAGTGGAAAGTATTTATGAGAGCCAGTCAATATTACAAGTATTTTTTTCAAGCAAAGTTTTGCAATATTTTCTTGTTGTTTTTCCATTTATCCACCCTGTCTGCAACTAGGGCTGTTTGACTGCAGCCAAAAGCGATGAAATATGAAATTTTCAAAACCTTGAGTAGAACTATTCTGTTCTGTATGTCTCTTCAAGAGGTCAAAATCAGCTCACTCTGTTTGCTTTTTGGCATATTTTCCCTTTTCAGGGGAAGAAATAGAAGGTCATTTTTGAAGCTGCTGTACTTTTTTGCAAAGGTACATGGTATTACCAATTTGTCTCATGCTTTTTGGATGGAAATCTTCTTTCATTCTACATGCAATACAAGAGGAAAAAAACAAAACAAACACACATAAAAAAAGGGAAATTGTGGTGAAAATTGTCCGTGTTTTCTAGCAGCTTGTCTCTGAATAATGAGCTCATGCAAATGAGTGTCACATTGCACAAAATTCCACCTTTTCCAGCATCAGTTTGCAGTTTTGCACTGGGATTATCACCTTGGAGGAGCTGATTAGCTTTTATGTTTGGGGTTGAGTTATTTATTAGAACCATCTGAGCTGCCTTGATCACTGTATTGATGGTCTGGTACTGCCATCAGCATGGAGCACAGATCAGGTGGGTGCTATGAAACAGTAGTAAGGCTATACCTTTTGATGGAAACAGGCAGAGGCTGCTGCACTTAGAGGAGTAAGACAGAGGACTGAGCACCCCCTCACTCAGAAAAGAACAGCTCATTTCTATATGAGCTGAGACAGTTACCTTTAGAGACCAGGAAATTATTTGGTGAAAGCTGATAAACAGATTGAGCCCCCTGAATCAATAGAGTCAGCGTGTTTAGTGCCTGGCATACAAAAGAAACTTTTGGAAAAGAGCAGATAAAATATAAGTCCACTTAACAGATTGTTCTGGCACCCCCTGGTCACACGAGAGCCCAGATCCTGGTCTTGCACATCAACATCGACGTAACGCTTTAAAAGCATGGGAAAAGCATGCAGGGAGGTGGAAATCTTCAGGAGAGGTAAAAAGATCCATAGGCAGAGGGAGAGAAAGAGGCTCCGGGAATCTTAGACAAGGCTGTTTTAAGGAGGAAACGTCACTTTGTCCCTAGTAAGTGATGAAAGAGGGCCAGCGTGGTTGGGAGGGTGGAGCGGTGGCTGTGCTGCTCTGACGCAGGGTGGCCACAAGAGGGGACGCTCCGCTGCGCTGCCTTTCTTGTAGGCATCACTTCACAATTTCCTTATCTATTTAAGTACAGAACATGACAGTGTTACAGCTAATGGTGCAGAAACACCACCCTCTCCTCACCCCCACAATCCAATTCCAATGTGGGGAGTTAATTCCCCTTTTATCCAGGCAGGGTGAGTATGTCTCTGACACCCCAGACCTCCCTCCTGCCCCCCCCATAAGTTTGTGCCTACACCTGGGGGGAAAACAGTGTTATCCTCGAGGCGAGAGGCTGAGGATCAGCCCTTGGCTTCCCTTCCCTTTGCTTTCCATATGGCTTACTGTAATAATGCTCGATACTTCGGTGCCTAATAGGACAGGGAGGGTCATACGAATGGCTCCCCTTCATTTGCGATGTTCTGTAGCTGCTCCAACATAACCAGTGTGGTGCTCCCTACACGCACCATCAATTCCCATTTTGTGACCCCATCCGAAAAGCAGCTAAAAAAGAGGCAGTGGGGCTGCAGATGCTGGAATGATGGGTCTGGGCTTCAGCCCATGCCTAAGAGGTATGAGGAAAGGAGCCTGCATGGACTACACAATTCTGGGTGGGGTGTGCAGAGCTTTGAAGTCCCAGTATGAGGGAGCATTCCCAAATCTTCGTTCGCGAAGCCTAGCCATGAAATGAGGGAGCATGGCAGTGCTGACACAGAGTTAGACTTCAGAGCACCAGAGCATGCTCTCCTGCTAGTTACTTTGCAGCTGGCAACTTACAGAACAAGTCCTTAAAAAGGACTGATAAAGAATTCATCTTCCAGGGCTTCTCTTGGACCTGCATTTCACTGGTAGTATTTCTAAAGGAAAAGTTGACGTTATTCTCAGCTGCAGGAAATCTTGCCATTTCCAGAATTAATTAAAATAAAACTTCTGCTCGTGGAAAAAGTGCTCCAAAAATGCTGAATTAAGATGGGAAAACTTATTATTGTATATGAAAAGAACCGTGAAAAATATTTCTGCATAGAAATTCTTTCACACTTTCCTCATGCCCTCATTCATCAAACTGTCAGGAAACTACCACATGGCAGAAAAAAAACCCAACAAAACCTTCCCATTTTCAACCTCATCAAAGGATTGCTAATATACAATTTTGATGAACAGTACATAGCCGGAGACCCCATAAGAAAATCCTGCTAGGACTTTTTCAACTTGTCCCCTCTATAACTGTGCAATACTTTCTATCTCCTTGCTTATCTTAGCCCCAGCTGGCCCTGGAGACTTTGAAGATCCAGTCTAATGGGTCACCTGCAGTGTATAATACTGTGCATGAAACAATTCCCCTTTATAAAAGCAGTGTATTGCCTTTCATTTATGAATAGCAGTTAACTTGTGAAGTTATTTGTTTGCAGCCAAGTAAAAGCAGGGATAGTGCATCAAGCTCAGACAGTCTCTAAAACAGCTGCAACTTCTACCTAGTATTTTTTAAGACAAGTGCAGCATCTTATTTTTAAACACATCTTTGGCTGCTTCTGCGTCACAGTTCTGTCTGAACAATAAGGTGTTAGTGGGATGAATGGAGGAATCAAGCATGTAGTAACATTTTGATTATTCATAGGGTGTCTTTTCCCATTTCTTTCCCCTCCTTCTTTGCTTTTTTTCCCCATGCAGGAAAGTGCTTGAGCTGCCCAAGAGACGGTTTGGAGTTCCTCTTGACCGGATTGGAGTGAGCCGCCTCGGCAACACCAAGGGTTAGCAGTTCCTGCAAGTAAGCCAAAGTGTTCCAGGTGTGGGCAGGCTCTGAGAAACCCACCTGTTCTCAGTTACATGGAGGTATTCAAGTCATACCAGTAGGCTCAGAAAGAGTGGCTTAGGAAATGATGGCTTCTTATAACATGGAATGCCCTAATTTGTCACTGAGTACCTCTCTACAAGAAAACAAGTATTTTTAACATTTTCCTCTCTTCTAGACCACCTTACAGTCTATTTTTCCAAGCCTTGCATTTCTGACATTGGAAAATGTAATGTTTACTGCTTTTTTGCCTACAGGTACTTCTATTCTTTATGACTGATGCTGTATTGGAAACATTACAGAGATACAGAAGATGCATCACAGCATGTCTTGTCATTGACTAATGATACAACACTCAAGGAATTGACCTCCTGCAAAATCTGTTTCACATTGCATTTTACAAATGTTGCATTTACAGTAATAACAAATTCAGTTCATCAGGTCAGAATGCTCTCACAGCTGTGCACTATGTCACTGATAGGAAGGAACAGAGAATATGTATATATTTTATTGCATGGCATTTATCTGTTAAACTAGCAGAAATTTATTATCCTAGCCAGGACTGATAGATTTTTTGGATTGAAAATAAAATTTCGAGAGATGCCAACAGGAGTCCATGAAAAGCAGACAGTTTGCTTTGGAAATTTCTTTCAAGGGGAGTTGTTTGGTAGATGAAGGGAGGATTTAACAGTTATGGGACAAAGCTAGAATTTATTTGAACTGCTGTTTGAGAGAATGATGTCTTTTGCCTTTAGTAGGAGTTAGTCTGAGTAAGAACTGTGACGATGCCTTAGTATTTGTCCTGATGTTTTGAGTAGTCTTTCTCTTATCTCTGCACCATATTTAGACATGTTTTCATTGTATAGCAGATCCTGAAATGTGGCAAGACTTTTAGTTTCCTCCTCTAAGGTGATGAATACATTTCACTCCTCCCTATGCATAACATAGGATAGCGTCCAAATATGAAGTCATCTACTTCCTAGACCATCTGCATCATATGCCTTATTTTAGCCTCTTTATGTGTGCACAGGGCATAATCAGACATGTAACTCTAAAAGTTCAAGTATTTCTCACTCTGGTAAAATGTAAACATGTCCTCTCCACTTCATTTCAGAGTAATACAGTTTATCTTAAATCCTGTTTCATGCTTTTCACTCCTTTCCAGATTATAAAATATAGCTGAGAAGAGCTGTTTGCTGATATCTCAATGCTCAGATTCCTAGCTGATGTTTTCTAAACATCACATTCTCCTTCTTGGACTTTGGTCAATGTCAGCTAAATTCCTCAGATTGCTATTCTTGGGTATAAACCATCTTTAGCATTGCAAAAGAAGATCCATTGAGAAAGAGATTATGCAGGATTAAGAAAAAAAGTTATTCTTGCCAAACACCCTGTGTAAGGCAGAGAATTAAGAGTTAATTTCCTAAAGCTTATTATATGAGGCACAAGGCACCTCGCCATCAGGCTGATGCCTGGCCAACCAGTCACCCCAGCCATTCGGTCCATGCTAGAAACAAGTCTGCAAATGCAGTCCCAGGCAAGCCCAGAGCCTGTGCTCTGCAGTGCACTGCCACCACCCATCCTGAGCCTGCCCTGCGGTTTAGGGAACATTTATCTTCTTGCACTGAGCTCATCCAGACAGTCTGCAGATTATCTGCTTGCAAGGCAGCCATATGTAGGGGCATGGTCAGATTATGGAAGGGATGACCTGACCACCCAAACAGCTGTCAGTCAAGAGCAGCATAGACAGAGTCATTGCGTGACATATTTTGGAACACTGAGAGCAGAGGAATCCAGTGCTAACACAGCAGGTTTTCAAAGACACTGGTGAGTCATAAAAATATTAAACAGTTGGCAGGCATTAGCCCGGGCTTCCAAAAAAGGGGGAGTTTTAAACCCTGAAAGCTGTGTGCAGAAATGCCCTTCACCTAAAGGGCAATGTGGAAGCAGAGCAGGACAGAGGTGTCTGCGGTGGTGTTGGTGGAAGCTTCAGTGCTGCTCCCACCTCACTGTGTGGATTACTTAGGAGAAAGCAACAGTCTTTCCGTTCCTCTGCCCCATCTACCACAGAGCACCCTGAGACCTCCTCTGGCTCAAAAAGCATCTTTAAAATCCGTAAATTGGCAAGCGCTGTTTAAAATATGATGCTGTCTGAAAGGCTGAGTACCACAATCTGTTTTTGTAGACAATATTGGATGGCTTCAGCCACTGTGCATAGCGTGGAGATCAACAAATGTGAAATGAGGATATACTGCAGCATCCATCGCACGCTGGATTTGTCCTGTGCTGCCTGGATTTGCAAACCCATTCAGGTGCCTGTGAGGATTTTCTTCTAATAAATCAACATGGTCGACTAGAATGTCCCAAGGAAATCCCTTTAATTATTGCCTGTGGGTCATTAACTTTAGCAAGAGTGACTGCCCAAGCATGAATAAGGTATGAGCAGACACCCAAAGAAGAGAGGGGTTTCTCTTCTGTGTGTTTAGGGGAAAGGACATGACCCCCACAGTGACATGTAGAGGGTAAGCCTAGGGGGAACATCATCACCTCTGCTTCTAATTAGTCAATTAATTGCATTAAACACAAACTCATCACTGCAGCAGAAGCAGCTAATACAGCAGCATGGAGTGCCTGTGAGGAAACAGTTGGGTAGTTTGGGTGCCATGAGCACTTAAATAACTGCATTGATGGGATGTAGAGCAAAATCACTGCTACACAGCAGGATGCATTGCACTCCAGGGAATTCCTGTGTCTAGGATCAGAGCAAGCTGTTAAATACCCACAGACACTGTATTCCTTTTCCTGGCTTGCTGATGGGTTGTCACACTGGGTCAGGAAGGCATGGCTACAGCAAGCAGGTGACAGATGGAGCCTGCTGAGCTGGCCTTTCATTGCACTGGGATGTCCTGCAAGCTGAAATCATCTGAGCTCAACTCCACCTTTGGGCACTCAGTACAGCTCTTGGAACACAGTTCCCTTTCAGCTGGAGCATCAAACTCTTAAAGAAAGAGAGACCCTTCTCTTGTCCATAGGGTATAATTTTTTCCTGGATTTGGTGCTGATGTGAGGGTATGTAAAAGTGTGCTCCCACGTACCTTTTCCCTTGCACAAAGGCAACAGAAAATGGGAAATATGTTCTAAGTCACTACCAAGGAAATAACAAATAATTAATGGTAACAGGAAACTGTATTTTGCATGTCATTAGACTTCACTGATATAATGAAGCTGGTTTTATTCCATAGATGCTGGCTTTGGCCTGTAATAGGATGAATAGATCTCCTGTTAATGAAGTACATGCAAGGTACTGTTGTGGTAAGCGTGTTCTTCTTGCCAGCGCCCAAGGCAATGAGTGTGGGATGGTAATTACAGCTTTGGGAGAGGTAAAGTTTTGAAGACTGTGTAGTATGCAAGCTACAGTTAAATCACATGGCTCAAAAGAGCTGCAGAGAAAGTTCAATGCTAGTCAAAATCAATCCACAGTGGCTATCAGTTCCTGCTCTCATTTATACTGTTGCAAACCTCAAAGTTAACATCAGGGTTTATTCTGAATTTACACCTTCGGGAATGAGGTCCTTTGTTTTTGCAAATAAATGTGGATACTGTGACTTAATATTTATATATGTAGGAATCACTGATGGATTGTGATCTCTCCCTTTTGCTAGTCCCTGCACTGACCAGCCAGATGAGCCAAAAATCTCTGCTGAAAACATCTCTTTGGGGTGAGTAGGTAGAAACCAGTGGTTCTGGTCTGGTCCTGTGAGGACAACATCCCACACATCTGTGAGGAAGACCCAACTCTCATTCCTGATCCTGATCAAAAGGAAGAGTCTGTCTCTCTGGCACATTAAAACTCTAGGTGTTTAATGGGAGCCTTATTTCCATTGTAAACTTCACATGAACCATTAAGGTAACAAGAGCCTACATCAAGGGAAATGTGCTGCCCCTTGGGCCTCTGCAGGGGCTGAGAAAGCAAACACCACATGCTTCTGTGCAACAGAAAATCTTTATTGGAATGATATCCAACAGATCCAGATTTCTGTGCTTGCCCTCCCCTGTGCACAGTGACAGGACATGGTGAGGAGCAGCTCTGGCTCAGCAAGCTGAGGCAGGCAGCCTGAGCCCTGAGCCCTTCACATCACACCCATCCTGCCTTCCTGTCCCAACAGCAGCCATTAGGTCATCACAGACCTGTTTGTAGGAGGCAACAGAAAACCAAGACACCACTGTGAGCAACATCTGCAGGTGTGGGCAGAGGCCCAAGCCCAGGGAAGCTGAGTTAGTGTTTGGTGCCTCAGGGGACCTGGTGAGAAGGGGGAGAGTGTACAGTGGCAATAAGCCTGAATGGCACACACAGGACAGCACAGAAAGTTGGGAAGCATCTTCCAAGTAGAAGACCATGGTAGGGTAAACCTGGAAGGAAGGAACAGCAGAGAGTGGCAGTGGGCTACCAGCTCCTGTCACAGTCCCTGTTAGACTTGGCTGTGGTGTGGTCATGGAGGATGGCATCCAAATTAGCAGCACGATGAAAGAACAGAACAAACTCTTAACACATTTATACCCAGCCAGGCAGTTTGGGGAAGGGCTCATCTTCATCCTCCAGTCCTGATGAGCCTTCAGATGCAGTATTTCCAAAAGCAGGCTGGAAAGGGATGCAAGAGAAAGATGTTAGCATCCAAGGGACTTTTTCCAGCTTCCCACTCTGGAAGAGGGTTTCAAAAGACCCATGTCTTGAGAGAGTTGAGGTGTGAAGGCAGCAGTATGGTTTCTGGGCACACCTCAATTATCAGCTTTGACTTCATATAACAGTTTTAGAAGGTGTTTTCTTTAGCTGCTCATAGTGTAAACATGGGGTCTAAATGTTTTTTCCATATTGCTCGATTTAAAAGGGTTCCTTTTGCTCTACTTCAGCAATGTCAGGAACAAGCTTTTTATTTCTTGTCTACTGGCCAGCAGTTTTTCTGCCTCAGAGGTGTGTGTGGGGTTTTTCACCTGTGGCTGACTGGAGGAGCAGGATACTGACTTGGAGAGACTGGATCTGATCCTTACTTATATTTTTAAGACCCAGTCACTACCACTCTGCTACTAACTATCTCCAAACAACACTGATCTCTGTGGGATCTTCTAAGAAGACTAGATTAAGGAAGGATGCATATTTTGGTGTTGGAAAAAATAGCTGTATCACCAGCACGAATCCATGAATCCCATGTGGGTCTCCTATTATCAAGTATGAGAAGAGATTTCTACCTGGTTTTTGAAAGCAGGATCTTGGAAGGAAGCTTCTCCTGAATCAGCAATGCTCACACTGAGACACGAGCTCCTCCCAGACTGGAAGGACTTTAGATGAAGACAAAGATTCTCTGTTTTAATTTCTGTCAGAATCTGATTTAAACCTGGCAAGGGGAAGTAGTTTTATCTATCTTTAAAACTTCCAGGACTGGTGAGGGCATGAATTACATTAGCCAAATTAATGACAGCCTCCAGGGTTGCTTGTAAATTGCATATTGCCTAAGGATCACCTAAGCACTTAAGCAAGCCTTGCACAAAGGAATTTTCTCTTGGCTGTCTGGCAGGTTGTCAGCTTCCACATGCACAAAGCATGTGGGCTAAGGGCAGAACTAGCTCTTTTGTTTTTAGGCCAGATCTGTCATCAGTGACTTCTGGTTCACAGCTGCTGCTGCTGCTTTGTGGAGGAATCCACAGAAAGCCACTGTGAGCAGCATTGTCCCTGTGCTTGTCAGGGGCAGCCTCGCAGGAGCACTGGTACCACAGGCTGCTGAGCCACTGGTTATGGACTGGACAGAGCTTGGAGACCAACTGGGAGACCTACCAGATCTTAGTTCCCTGCATTCTTGGTTGATTTCCACATCTTTTTAGCTGGTTTTCAGCAGCAGAAACAAGTGCTCCTTTTTTCTCTGTAGGGAGGCATTGACCTTGGCAGAGGGGAACGCATGCAGTCCACATGTCTCATTATGCCTTCAGCACTAGCTTTGTGCCCAGAGCAAAGCGACGGGTGCACTGTGGGGACGTGTTCACACAGAACTCACCCCCTCCAGGGCAGGCACTCTTTGCTCACATAACCCCATGTTCCTCTGTGAAAAGTGAGATGTGACACTGACTGCCTCCATGAGGGCCTGGTGTGCAGACCCAGTTGTATCTGCCTCGACAGCAGGCAGGGTTGGGTACACAGTCCTTCTCACCAGCTGCTAAACCAGCCAGCCATTGACAAGAGAGGGCCAGGACTGCCAGATAAGCTGCCAGCCAGATGTTTTTCAGCATATTTGGGGCATGTTTACTGTCACTGCCTTTGCTGCAGAAAGGAAGCCCTAGAGATGAGAGTGGACAGGATGGCTGCAAGGCTCTAACGCAAAACCTACCGCGTTTTTTGGGCTGGGATGCTGAGAGACTTTCCAAGGCATAGGCCACCTCTGACCCTTCCTCAGTTGAGAGCTGATCCTTCAACTTCTCCAGCTGTTTAAACAGAAACACAGCAGTAAACAAAGGCCCCATTATGAGGAGCTCCACAGAGTGCTGGCAAGTGCAGGGCAAAGGAGGTACATGTAGACTGGCTGTAACCCCTGTGGGCAGGAGGCTGTGTAGGATATTGGATTAAGAGTCAAGATAGGGCTGAGGCAGGTCTCCAGGCATCCAGCCACTGCAGCAGAGAGCATCACTCTTCCATTGCTCTGGGTTGTCCCTCCTTTCTCTCCCTCACAGGTCTTGCTACCTTTCCCTGGTTATATTGTGGGTAGTCCACCATATTTGTTCTTCATCCATAGCTACTATTTTCTAGCAGACTGTGAACTTCTACAGCCACCATCCTGACTTCTGCTCTGGCAGAGTTGCCCCCAGAAAGTCAGAGTTTAACATCCCTCAGCACTGGAGCGAGGGCTAGCATAGAAGCTGGCAGCCTCCCCTCTGGCATGATACACTGTGATTTTTCAGTCTGAAGTGAAAAGTGCCATGTGGAACCTACCCCAACCTCCAGGATCCACGCAAACAGCTGATCTGAGAAGGGGAGAAAAAGCACTTCCACTGCTCATGGGGTTTGGGGAGTGGCAGCTGTGTCAAGGTTGCTGCAGACCTTTCCCTATTCCTGGGCACTGTATGTAGATAGGGGATGCTCTGTGTGTGTGTGCACTTTGATCTGACCTTGGGTAGGGCCACCTTTACTAGCAAAGAGTCCAGAAAAAAATTCTGGCTTAAGTGGGCAGTGACTATCCCTCCAACTTCAACCCGTTATCTACTGCAGCCAGCTGATACAATGCTTAGGAAGGAAGCATGACTTCCTCTTCCCACTTGCTTTTCTTCCATGGAGATTTCCATTTGTGCTTAATTTTTTCCTGGCTTGGCCTTCACTGGCCTTTCACTGGTGACAGAGGCAGGAGCTGCCTCAGCTCTTATTGCACTCATCCATAGCCTTGCTCTCTTTCCACCTTTTCCAGCTTGTGCAGCTGTTTAGCCCAGGTTCTGCTTTTGTAGCCCAGGTTCTCCTTTTCTCTTTGTGCAATACATGCTTACATCATATCATCAGGACGAAGGGCAGCAGGATGCAAAGATGGAAGGATATGGCATAAAGACAGCTTAAACAATCGTTTAACTATTCATACATGTATGCTTCTATGTGTCTGTACGTTTGCTTTTCTCACCTGTTCAAGCTCTTCAAATTTCTTTGCCAACTCCCAGTCTGCAAGAAGGGAAAGAGTAATGTCAGTATCTGCATTGCTTCATGAAGCTCCAATTAAAAACCATTTCCTCATTTGTCCTCTCCAGGGGTTGACAAGAAAAGACCTAGTTATCATTTAATTCCTACTAGTGATCTCCAAATGAATGACAGCAGAACCTGACAGAAAAGTGGGTCTTCTCTGCTGAATCCTATTGGACTTTATCCTAATTCTCCATTATGAGGGAGGTTTCTTTGCTGTTCACTAGGCCATAGGGGAATTGGCCCAATGAGGTCACTTAACTGTGTGAAGCCAACTCAGGTGACCCTCTTTGCTGCTTTTTAATTTTATCCTGCTAACAGCAAATCTCTAATTCAGGCTTTTCTGCCACTGGCCTTTATATGAAATTTCATTTCTTCTTTTAGGACTTCTTTATGCTCACATCACCCATGCAGGCAGAAGTCAGAACACACAGAGTTAGCCTAACAGAACTTACTGCTTTGTAAGTCAGCAAAGATCTGGGCTAGCAGAGTGGAGCAACAGGAAAAGTCACATAGCAGTGAGTGCACAGATTCCACGCCTCTAAAAGTTGGGGGAGCACAAGGACCTGGGGGCCAGCTTCATAGATCAGACTTAGAGATCTCAAGGCGAATCAGTACTGTACTACTGTCAAAAAGCTATGCAGGTGGATGAACGAACTGCCCTGAGACATCCTGTTCAGAAGGAGGAGAGAATTAGGTTCCTGGAAACAGGATTTAAAACCTCCAACTGAATTGGGAATGGCCTGGACTAATGATAGGGAAAGCTGCAGGAATAGGGGGTTTCAGTCTCACTACTCTTGAGGACTGAGATACCTTATTCCAGAATCAAACTGATGTCAAAATCACTTAATTTTTTAATAAGATACATGAGCTCAGTTAAAGCTGAGTGACTGGCTGCAGTGGTTCTCCTGGGAGGGCAACACAAAATGATCAGCCGGTTTTAAGTGCTAGTTTAGTGCATTTGGGAAAAATGCACTAAAATAAGCAGAAGAGCCAGGAAAGAGCTAAAGAATATCTCTGCTAGGCCCCACAAGCAAGCCAAAAAACAGCCCTGAAGCTGCCTCTTTTGTCTGTTCCTAATGTGGCACCAGGCATTGGTCTGGATTGTCAAGGGGATTTAGGACATAATTCCCCTTGATTTCAGATTTCAGATAAGACTTCAACTCACAGACACATTGCCAGACTTGTTTTTTTGGTTTGGTTTGGTTTTTTTTTTAATGTTTGAAACTGAGCAGGAGGGTTCCAAGAAAGAGCTGACTGCTTGCTTGGTTTTTCCTTCAAGAAGGAAACCATTCTGTTGAAAATCCAGAATATTTTCTGACAGATATTTAACTGCCAGTAAAAGCAACAGTTCCTAAGCAAATCCATCACATCAGGACTCAGTTTGAGAGATGTGATGGGGATGAGAGTCAGGAGGTGTGGGCTCTGTTCCTGGCATTGTCAGCAATGACCTCGGTCAGATTCCTCCTAAGTATGTCTTTACATATCCGTAAGGTAGAGAGACAGATCCTGGCATATCTGTAAGTCAAAAGTGCCACTTAGGAGGTGTTGTTGTTATCATTGTTATTATAGACATTTTTACCTCTTTCAGAGTTTCAAGTGCCTATTTTGCCTTGACTTTCTGCAAACTGTAAGTTTGGCCAATGACTGCTATGAATAGAAAATGAACAGCGGTCGAAATTGGGAACAGATTATCTCAGGCAGGGAGAAGGAAGTTAATTTATGGATGAAGCCTTGAGAAACTGCCTGCTGTAAATCCTCTGTCTCTGCTCTGCTCAGAGATTCATTATATTCAATTGTCTGGCATAAAATGCAGCCTTTCCTCCAGGACTAATAAGTGCAATAATCCATAAACCTATCATAAAAATGTTATTTCTTGAATGCATCCTCTTTGCAAGAAGATGCCTTTGTTAGTATAAGGACTTGATTTATTTGTGTTTATTTATTTGTCCCAGGTTTGTTTAACCACTGCCTTGCTGCATTAACAAGCATCTGGGGAAGATCACCGAGTGAGTTTGATGAATGGATTTTCATAACAAAATTTTTGCTGGGCCCTGCTCTCAGCTGTTTTCATAGGGAAGGGCAGCTTCCTGCTCTGAGACCACCACGTACAGCTCCAACCCTCCCCTGGGTGCAGTGGCCGTGGGAACAGCTGACCCCTGTAATCCATTTGGTGCCCAATGTCAGGGAAAGCCCAAGTTTCTCTTCAGCAGGTTTGAGTTTAGCCACATGGTGGCTTTAAATTTGGTGTCTGTTCACAGAGCACAAACAGGAAAACTTCCCCATGGCCTGTCTTTGGTGTCTCCACTGTGTGGGAAAATCCCGTTGTCTCAACCGCCTCCAGCAGTAAGCAGGGGCTTAGGCCCAGGCAGGAGCTCCTAATGCCCTTGTCCCAGCCTACACTTGACCCCAAGGGATCTCACCTACACAATCTCTGCACAACTTTGGTGCCACCCCACTGCCCCATGTGCTCACAAGATGCTGCTGGTTTCAGCAAGATACGGAGCTGTCTCTCAAAAGCCCATGGGGCTGTGTGGGGTGTGGGTGGAGAGGTGACTCCCAAAGCTGGCCTGTAGCCCAGACATTGAACACAATGTCTCAGGGATATCAGGTGCACAGGGACTCAGCAGAATCTCTTCTTGTTATTACTTATGTACGCACACATGCTCCCTTGCCAGCACAATGCTGAGTGTCTGAGGATCTAGGGTATGTGTTTTTTGGCATTGCAAAAGCAGGTCCAGGAGCCCCATGATGGAGAACATCTGACATTAATCACATGTAGGCACCATACCGGGTGCTTCTGCTTTCTGAGCAGCTGGTATTTCTGAGAAACCTGAGAATCAGGTTCCTTGCATTCATGCACACACAGATTCAAGAAGTGGAGATCTCCCATCCCCTTTGCTTACCAACATTTTCTGGCCTCCGCCATGCAAATTTCTTATTAAGAAGCAGATTCAGCAGTGTGTCCTCGTGATTTGTGTCTTCTCTCTCTGGAAGCACTCGGTTCTCTGCAGGACATAAAACACATCTTCCTCAATCTCATCAAATTAAGAATCAATTAATCAATTGATTCAATTAATCTCTTAATCACATTAAGAAGGCTAAGAAGTGGAAGGAAAATGTCTCCTGTCAGCACTCATGAGGGTAGAAGGAGCTCGGGGGAAAAGGAAGGTGTGTAAGCACAGAATAAAATGTCCAGGCAGTGAGGGCTGCGCAGTGAAAGGGTGTGGGATGGGGAGCCCTCCCTGCCAGCCCCGGGCTGCTGGCCAGTTTCTCTGCAGCCTCATCAGCGTGGCTGGCTGCAGAGAGCTGGAGACATCACCTTCGTTTAGAAGTTCCAACCTCTTCTGGAAGGCGGGTGTAGTGGATGCCTCTGCAAAGCCAGACAAGCAACCCACAGGATCCTCTCTTCTCAAAACTGCAGGTGTTACCCCCACTCACACCATGCACCTTCCCAGGACCGATAGAGGCTCATGTGTGGGTACCACAGCTGAAATGCCCTGAAGCCCCACAGCCCATTCTTGCGCTCACTCAGCCTGGGGGCTGCTCTATCTGACTGCCAACAGTACTGCAGGATTCTTCCTGAACCAAGTGTGGAGGAGCTTAAAGCAAGACCAAGCAGAATTTTTCTGTTTTCCAGGAAAAACTTCCCCAAGCTGCTGTTCTAAAGCTATTTGGACCCCTGTAGGAGGCCCCTTTAGGGAACTTTCTCAGTGGTTTTACTGTAGTGGTTGTGGCTATGCCCTCAAATGAATGGTTGTGAAGGTCAAGGGTTTGGCAGAAACCAACAGACACAGGATAGGACTAATCAGTGCCCTGAAGAGACCCTCTCAGCTCTGCTCAACAGATTTCCAGAGTCTTATAAGACTAGAATGTTGCACTCATTTTTGATAATGACAGAATAAGAGCCAGACTTTATAGGTAGAGTGGCCATTCCACAAAATCTTTGGTCTGAACACCCCTGTTCCACACCCAGACCCTACAAAGCCCTGGAAGATGCCTACAGAATCCATGGAAAATACTACGAAATTATACAGAAAGGCTTATTTTCTCTCCTTCCAGGATCTTTAGGACTTCATCTCAATGTCTTCAGGGAGGTAAGAAAGGAGAAAACAGTCTCAAATAGCCATCAGCCCTACAGAGCTCTGAGGGGATGAATGCAATTATTTTTGATAAACATGAGGCAAAACATTACACCAGGTGAGCCTAAAGGATGCTCAAGAGTATATGGGAATCAGCTCTGTTAGCTAAAGTCACATAAATCTGCAGAAGCAGAGGGATGCTGGACAAAGCAATGCTGCAAGTATTTGGCCAGACTCAACCCTGCCTCATGCTGCAGCTGAAGCCTCTGGTCCTGATTGTGATCTCTAGAAATAAACCCAAGGGAGCGAGAAAAGCTACATGCTGTGTAAAACTTGCAATTAGCATGGAGTGCTATAAACCTTGTTCCTAAGTCTGAAAGACAGTTATAATTTTAAAATACCTACTTTTACTTGCTCAGGGGATTTGCTACAGGAAAAAAAACACCCTATAAACACTCTAGTACAAGATAAACACAAGCAATATTTAGATAGCTTGGCCTTGGGGATATTTTGGTTGTCATTACAAAAATAAATAGGTGATATAAGATGAAAAACATTTGAAAAGCAACGTTATTTTCAAGGCTATATTTAGCTGCTCATTCTTTTTTCCACTGCCAAGTCTCTTTAAGAAAGAACGTTAATGATTGACATTTCCTTGCAGTATAAGTTCAAGCTAAGACTAATTTAAATTATGGGAGAAGAACATATAAAAAGAAGTTCTGTGAAGAAAAAAAAGTTCAGCAGCACTCTACTACTGACATTTATGAGCTGTCAAATCTCATATGGTACATACTGGAATTGCTACTCTCTGATATTTTAATGTTTTTCTTTGGAGATTTTCTTATGGGAGAGAAAGAGCTACCCTTACCAGATTTCACCAGATCTGATATTTTCACTCATTAGCAGAATGTGTCATGCAACCAGCTGCAGATTAGAGGAACAGCTTTAGCTCATGCTGATATGAACAAGTCTCTCGGTAGCACCCATGTTAATTGATTGTGCAGCCTGAGGTTCATTTTGTTTCCTTTCCCAGATAAGGGAGTGTTGCATTGGCCATGGCAAGCAGCAAAGCAAAAGCATAACCACCTACCTGCGTCACGTAGTCTGTATTCCAGCTTACCTTGTAGTAAAAAAGGTTCTCCATGTGTGGATGGGACACACACAGTCATGGTCAGGATGGTTAGCACTCCAAGACACAGCTGGACAGACCACATCTTCTCCACGTTCCCACTGCCCAGAAGCATTCTTCCTTCAGGCACGGTGGAGGACTTCAATGAAACCCAGCGCCAGATGAGCTCACTTTTAAGAGGCAGTGGATGTGCCGTGATTGCAAATGGCCTTTGGAGGAGGGGAGAAAAATATCTCTTGAGATATAATTCAACCTGTCAATATGATTCACTCCTTTGGGAGTGGACAGAACAACCCAGTAACATATGTCAGATGGAACCTGTTCAATATATCTCATATCAGACTGATCTAATGAATTCTGATGTTCCCACAGGCGTGCACTGTTCACGCACGTTGATATACGTTCCATACATACGTACATTAAAAATATTTTTTCAGGGCTGCTGCTTTAATGGAGTTCAGACATGAGGACTCCCACGTTAGCAAGGAAGATTTGTCTAATGTACAAGTTGCCGTATTTTCCCAGTTTGGACAGAATCAGGCTAATGGGGTTTTGTAATTTATCATCTCACTTCCTAGCTCCTATATTAATTAATGTGAGATATAATGAGTGCTGAAGTGGTGGGAAACAGAGGGGTAGAGCTCTTTTCATTTAACTGATTGGAGGATGTCGAGTGTGTCTTGCTCACTGTGACTTATGGCTTTGTCAACGGGAAAGGCTTCACACCCTATTTTGGGATTATTTTGAGTGGGGGAGTGCAGATTTGGCAGTGATATGGAATACGTCAAGGATGGGCAAGTGTCTTCAGTTTTTTCTTGGGGGAAAAAAAAAGAAGTGGAAGGTCAGATGCTGGTTCTGGCTACACAGCCTTATTTTATAATTTTAGAACAAAGTATAGAGGCACATTGTACGTATTCCAAGTCTTCTCAGGTCATGACTATATTTTAGCTTGACTTCCGTTTGTTGCTTATCCATCACTATTGATCAGGGACCTGCTACTACTTTCTATAACTACCTTACCAAGGAAAATGTTGTAATAGTAACAGCACTAAATTTTGTTCTTCACTTCTGCTTTTCATGCAGAACTGAATCATCTGTACTTGCCATGGTTTAAACCCAGCCAGCAACTAAGCACAACAGAGCTGCCGGCACACTCCCCCCGTGGTGGGATGAGGGAGAGGATCAGGCCAAGCTCTGACTTGTACATACACTCCTAGTGACTCACTGTGTGTGCTTTTTTGACACCACGTCATGCCAGATTACCCAACATAGCTTCATCTGATGGTACCTGCACTTCATCTTAGTATCATTTCCATGTTTGGGCTTTTGGCTTCTGGTCCCCTGCTCTCCCTACAACTTGCTCTGTGCCTTGGATAGGTATTGAATGACTAGCCTTTTAATAACCCTTGTAATATTTTATTATCTGATATATTATCAATAAAAGTATAGGGGGAGAGGCTTAAATTTTTTGCAAGACATGTCTCTAAAAATGAATGCGATGCTTCTCTTAATGAATACTTTTCTACTGAGAAAATATTCCAAAATTTTCCCCGCAGATATAATATGTACAAATAAACCAAACTCGTATTTTTCCTCAGATTTGTGTGAGACAGTGATCAGCTAGCTGAAGCACTTCCCTTCTTCATAAAGTTCTGTTTGGACTCAAGGACACCTATGTCCCACTAAGAACAGTTTTTCAGTCACCTCTGTCTCCCTAAGCCGCCTGTTTCAAAGTGGTCAGAGTTAAGTAGCCCCCATGAAGCAGAGGCCATAACTTAATGAGCACCACCTTGCACAGGAGTCCAGTGTGGACAATGTAGCTGTGACACAAAACTAAATTCTCAAGGGAAGGTCAGGTCCATTTGAACTTGGTGATAAGTGGCTTTCCAGGTCCTTACCAGCTTGTCTAGAGATGTGCTGTGAAATCGACTTTGCCTTGATACAGAAAGTGGGTTTTTCCAGTTTATGCAGAATCCACAGATCTCTGACTGTTTTTTCCAACCCTTGGCTATCAGATCTCATGGGCTATTGGCAGGCTCTTTCAGGAAGATGAGTTATTCCTGGGATTTCCTCTTTCACTGCAGAGAAACTTCAGTTCTGGATCACTGCAGTTTTCAGCCCCCAAAGCAGCTCATGCATAGAATGTGCCAGACCTTTCAAATGAAGGCTCTGGTGAAGGTGAGGAACTGCCATGCTACATTTACATATGAGAAGGAAGATTACTGGATGCTCTCATCCAATGGGTTGGTGGATAGACGTCTGGCAGCTGCTGCCAAGCACTGGTAGAATTTTTGCATTTTTTGAAGTTATGAGATGGTTGATTTGCAGCATTGAGCTTCTCTAAGATTTCTACCTGGAAAATTCTGCTGCACATTTGTCCAGGTTCTGGAAATACTATTACATTTTGTTCTTATGTATTTTATTCTCAATAGGAAAACAACATAGTCTCCATATTCTTCCTATTACTTCACTCAGTGATAATGTCTTCTACATGCTCCACTGAGTACTTTTGTCTGGAGTTCAAGGACAATGAGAACATAAAGATGTGAGCTCCATCTCTACCTCCCAAGGTCCTAGTCTGTTTTAGCCTCTTCATGTAGAAGTTTCTCTTTCAACAGAGCTGTGCAGACAAAGCCAACCAGTTCAGATGGCAGAAATGGAGAAACCTTGGCCCAAGCAGAGGCCACCAAATTCAGCTGCACCAGCTCTGAGCATGAGAGAGATGAATAAGTGTGTCAGGGCCCAGGGGGTGTTAATAGTCCTGAGCATCCTCAGCTGGGGCCTCACAACCCTCTCTGCCCATCAGCTCAGGAGGCCTATTTAAGCTCAGCCCTGGTCCACTTCTGTTTTTCCCTGAGCTGTGCTGGAGGAATGCTGGTCTGGGGCTCAGCTGTCTTTGCCTGCACATGGTCCCTGCTGATCTGGACCCAGACCTGCAAGTTGACTTCCCTGTTTGACCTCAGATGTGTCCCATCTCTGTGGACGGTCTGGTGTTCACTGAGCTGTGTTTGTCCCTGACTGCTGTCATCAGGCCTGATGCTGGCCAGTGTATTGACTTCCATCTTGACCCGGGATCTGCCTCATCATCATGGGCTCCCCTGACTCCTGGGGCTCTTGACTGAATCTGGCTGCAGTCTCTGATCCCGCCCTGCTTGCCCCTTTTGGGATGGGTCCCTGTCCTGCTGTCAGCACCATTGCACTTGGCTCCCTGTTCCCTAGGGCACAGCTGGCCCTCTGATATCATCTTCCTAGAATTGTTCAGCTTCCCTCTGTGCACAGACTCCTCTGCCAGGTGGACCTTGGAGCGATGAAGGCTTTCAGGTATGTTACATAAAATCCCAGTTTCTCTCAAGTTACTCTGAGCTTTGCCACTAGCTCTAATGAAACTAGGGCTGTCTCTAGAAGAGATGCAGTCCCCAAATAACCCATCCTGAGTTTAATCCCACTGTTTCAGACCAAGCCTCAGACAGGTGGAATTCAGTGTGGGTTTTGACTGACTTGTAAGATGTAGGAGGCAGTGTTGAGTTGTTGAAAACAGAACATAAAAAGGATATTTTACAGAGCCAGCTTGGAGTGGCAGGATTCCAGACCACTTTGTATGCTGTACATTGGGGTTTGGAGAGAGAGAGAGAGAATATTCTTTTCTTTTTCAGAGCCTCCTGAGGACACATAAAAACACCACATGCATCATGTATTCCAGGTGAGCCTCATCAGCATCCACAGGCTTTGTCATTGTCTTATGGTCTCCACTTAACCGTAGCTTGTTTTGTCCCACAGCAAACAACCTGCTGAGGGAGGGCCTGTCAGGGAAGTCTCTTTACTTAAGGTTAGGAGAAGGCACATATGAACTGTTACTCAGTCTTTGCACCAAAGATGGGACTTGGTTGTAACTAGTCTCAGGTGGTAGAGACAGGGTTTCATACTGTGTGATACATATGGGGAGATTTCATGCATCACTGTTTTCTTCCCTAGAATGTTCCTAATAATAAGATGAGGGTGGGGAATTAGAAAGAGATTTGGAAATGGGGAGTGGACATGCCTTGTAGAGGGAAAGACAGAATGGGGGCTTGCAAGTGCCATCAAATCAGTGAGAAGTTGGTGAGCTTTTTAGCTGGCAAGAAAAGGGAGCTGCATGCACAGCAGGGGTGAAGTGATCTTCCTACACAATGTCAGAAAGGCAGGAGTCATCTTGCTCCCCATCCTGGGTAGTGACTTGTGTACCCTCCTGTTCCACCCTCTATCACCTCTATTTATTTACATATGCAACGAGCTGTTTCCATCTTCTGTAGCCAAGTCGTTTCTCTCTTTCATAATGTCTGCCTTCCTTGCTTGTATCACCATTGTAGACTTTTCCCCATTTGTCTGTCTATATTTCTATTGCATCTATCTGCTCCTCTGAGTCTCCAATTGTGCTTCACCTGGTAGGAACCAGAGGAGAAGGTATTAAAATGCCTGTCCTCTTCAGCTTTCATCCCTTACATATTTAATGTCGGATTTCTCCTCTGCCTGAATCACCTCTACCCTGGGGCAAACTTGAGAGAACAAAGCCCACTCCAGTCTGTTATTTAAAGCACCACTGGAAGGTGCTCAGATACTCTGCTGATGTGGGGTGCAAAGTCCCTGACAGGGCAAGTTGACTGCAGAAAGGAATTAAAATGTTGTGCTTACAAGCCAGGAGAGTAGTCCCCCTCACAGCTCCCTGAAAGGAGGGAGTGCCTAACAGGGAGGGAGATGTTGTTGTAAAATGAGATTCTCTGTTCCTTAGGGGACTGTTAAAACCAGTCAATATTTATGAAGCTTTTAGTCTGACTCATACAATTTGTTCCCCCTTCTACGTGCTTGTCTTTGGGACTCAGCTGTTGCTTGGCCTGTTACTGACATAAAATTATATGCTGTGGTTTAACTGTGTCTTTGCTTAGAGAAAGAGAAGGGGAAGGTCCAAGGCAGAGTGTAGAGCAGCTCAAGCTGCCACCTCACTTCAGGCAAACAAGGGCCACAAAAAGGGAAGCGTCACCAGCTCCTATCACAGAGAACCAGTTCCTCAAGGTTAGGGCAGTGGAGGATAAGAAGTGCAGCTGGGCTGCCTTGTCTGGCTTTCAAACCCACATTGAGGTCTGTCAGGAAACCATCCAATTTCTCAGAGAGCAAGTCAGCTCCAAAATATCATCCTGGAGTGAGGGACTGAAAGAGTAATTCAGGAATGTAAAGGCGTTGGATGTGGGAAGAGGCAGCCTGTGGAGAAAAAGTAGGGAGCAGAGGAAGTTGTGGTACCATTCTCACCTCTGCCTCTTAATCCTGAGCTGAAGCACCTCCTCCAGATTCAGCATCCTGTCCCTACCGAGTGGGGTTACTTGGCTGAGGTTCCTGGTGAGGAGAGGAAGGCAGTATAGAAACCTTTTCTGCTCTGAAATGTGCCATGACCTGCTGGTCTCAAACACATTTCCAGTGATGCTCCTGAATGGTAAATATTGGTGTGGGTGTGTAAGGACTAACCTGACCCCCATGCCAGGACAGTGGCCTGAAGAGGTGTGATCTGGAATGACCTGGTTATACCATCAGATTTACCCTGAGCTCGACTCCCCTCTGTTCTGACTCACTTTCTGCAAGGCTTGTCTTCATCGGGGATGATGAATGCAGCTTGTGCATGTATTACTTTGAGTAACATGGCCAAAAAGAGAAGGCTGGGTAATTGCCCAATAAAAATGCTGGTTGGGGCACTTTTAAGGTTGTAGATGTCAATTCTATCTGCTAATAGTGCCAACTTTCACACTGTTGTTCCCTTTTCTCCCTCTTCCTGTTCTCAGTTACCATCTGTTTTTTTGGCTTATTGAGAAATGTTGCCCATTTTTTCTGGAAAACTATCACTACAGGGAGGCTTGGAGGATACACAGATCTGTTGTGTTTTGGTGAAACTTGTGCAGATAATCACAAATCTTACCTTTTGGAGAGCCTGTCTTTTTACCTAGATTTTCATTTGCACCCCAAGCTGCTGAGAATCCGTGAGACTTCTGCACATGCAAAAGAATGTTTTGTTGAGCGAACACCACTGCTTTGAGTGCAGACTTGCATATACAAAATCATGACTTGAAACAAGGGCTCCGGCTGAGGCTGTAGGACATATCCATCCCTCACCTTTTGGTCTGCTTACCACCCTGCAGCTTGGGAAACAAGTGATAACACAGGAATTTTTTATTCCTTTTTTTTTTTTTTTAATCTAGAAAAGGGTGGGCAGGTGCAATCATATGAGGTGATTTGTTTAGGTAGAGCTAGAAATTTTTCCAAGTGGAATATAGCAAAGTCACTGCTAGGCAAAAACTACAGTGACTTCAGGCCCCATCAAACTCCCTCTTACAAAATCAGTGTGTTGTGGTTTCATCCAGGTGGTAATGACTGACTAGCTGAGAATGGCCAAGGTGCTTCACCACTACCTGCCACATTTGTTAGGATTCTTGTGGGCCTGCAGGCAACTCTCTGTGGAGCACCAAGTGACTAACATTATTTGGGTGGGTTCTGTTCTTCTGACATAAGAGTAAGGAAAGGATGAGGAAGAAAAATGCAGCAAATGTACCACTTTTAGTCTTACTTCTCTCTAAAGGAGACTTTTGGAATACATACCTGACTTCAGAATGCAAAGGTTTACTCTCCAACTTGACAGTCAGCAAAAGCCCTTGCTCTGTAAAGGCATGGCTTTTGATTTTTTAGTGCCCCTCGTTATGTTACATGTAAGCACAAGCTGAGTTTCCTCTTTGCTCGTTCTTTGCAATCACCCCATTCACTACCCCTGGTGAGCTTTATAATACTTTAATCCTTGCAGGTTTCTGCTCCCCTTGTTCTTCAGAAAGCCTGGATTCCCACAGGCACCATTCAGCTACCTATGGAAATTACACACCTGCTTCTTGGTGCTCTTTGCCAGTGTTGTAATGTTTGCTTCCTCTCATCCACCCCTTCTGGCACAGGACTTCAAACCTCTCTTGAAGTGTCTTACCTTAGAAATGCAGGGAGGT